TGAAGTGTAAACTTGTTTAATAAACCATATCTTTCATTTTCGATTTTTAATTCACGTAGTCCGGGAACTTTCCGGACAAACTGTGTATGTATATATTACCAGTACAATTACGCACAGTACTCACTCAACATACATTTTACAATATTTCAAACAAGTCTGTTTGAAATAATGGATTTCAAAAGAAAAACAAAGTGAAAAGCGTGTAACACGAAAAAAAGTATCTCACAAGAAGCGAGAGAAACAAATTTTCATCAAATATGTTATTGCATTGATTAAAAAGTACAAGTAACTTTGTCACTGCGTTGTTTTATTGTTGTTTGTGCACATTAAAGATAAAGTGTTTTGTGCTTACTTTTGGTATACTTGCTCACGCGTAAAGGAAACTGTCGCGAATATTGTATAAGTTATATGTTCTGATTTTGTTACCTTTTTTTTTAAATAAGCAATCTACCGAATGTGACATAATTTTAGAGGCACATGGTAATTTTAAATATCGCACAAGACATAAGATAATCAATCAATCAGAACAAGATATAGAGTGAAAGGATCTCATTGATTCTCTTCTGTCTTATGCATAACCAGTATACAAATATCAATACTTCGGCTCTAAAAAAAATACAATAACGTAGACTCTCCCTGTCTTTTCTTCGCTAAAAATTATGTACCATTAGTGACTTACTCTGAATAACGTAATCATATTTCCGGTTTTACTTAACAGTGCTTCAAAGAAACAATTGCGATTGTAATATACACAAAAGGTCTATATTTTAGTGCAATTACAATTTTTATTATAAATAATTCTGTAAGTAACATTGGTTTTAGAATTTACTATTTTTTTCTTACAAACACAATAAACTATAACGTAAATTAAAACTACTCATTTAACATTTTACAATTTTGAAATTTTAATTAAGTATTCAACAGTTTACAAAGTTTTTTACCTTATATGATTAACATATCTTATACAACATTAAATAGTATTCTACGATATTAATTTTTCTCTTACATTTCTTGTATACCTAGATTCTGTGTGAGACTTATACACTCCTATTTATGTGTAAGATGTTATACTGTATATATACATATACATATATTTATATATATTATATATACACGTAGTAACCATCGTATAACATAAAATATCCCACTGAATCCCAGTGTATCCCACTGAAAAGTCGACTTTATTTTATCACTAATATGCGAATTGTTATAATAGTAAAATCCGAAAACTATATTTTCACTTTTACTCAATTTTACTAATTATTAGAATAAGTTAGTGTTATAAAATAAAGCTTAATTAAAAGAAGCAAACATAAGATGTAAACACAGCAAATAAATAGAATTTTTCAAGTAAAAGTGTTTGTCTTCAAAATGTAAACTGTCATAAAAAACCCGAATACAAAAAGTAAGCCATCATAAAAAGAAAACTTATTCGCAGTCAGCGGTCGAAAATACGCGATAGCGTTTGTAATTAAAAATAAACTGAGGCTCACAATAAAGCGTAGTTTCCATTTCAACCAGAAACATACGTCGAATTTCAACTTTTTTGTTAATGGCATCGAGAACAAATGATTCCTAAAACAGATTACAAAATATATTTATAATAAAATCATGTATACTTGTGTATAAATTTTATAAGAATTACGAGATATACTTTTACTAGAAATAATATTAATCTAACAAATATAAACGATAAGTTCTATTTGAAGAAAGAGAAAAAATTACGCCCGATTCCAAAAGAATATTAAAATAATACTTTTAATAATCTATACATACCATGGGATGCATATGCAGCACTTTCTTTAAAAATAGTTCGTTAGTAATCTGAAAAAAAAACATGTACTATTATCACTTAGTATGATTTCCTTACATCGTGTAACACTATTCAATAATATAAACTCGAGAGTAAATGAAAAAACATGTGATCATATACAATTATATGTAAATTGGATGTAATTATGTATGATCGTATAAACTTTTAGATAAGTCGAATATGATTTTATATAAATTCAATATGTATTTATGCGATCGTGTAAAATCAAATTTCAAATTTAGCGCAATCTGATTTTATAGGATCATATATAAATACATAAAAGTACAATAGTATATAATTTCTTATATTTATATGATCTTATAAAATCAGATCGCGCCAAATTTCAGATTTGATTTTACNCGAACACATAGAATCATATCCAACTTATATAAAATCATTTTCGACTTATATACAAGTGTACACNATCATACAAAATTGCATCCGACCCACATATACTCCTATATGAGTTTCCATTGTTTTTTAAGAAATTATCCTTTTCTTATATCAAAAGCAGATATGAATCTAGACAACACTATCCCTCTTTACATTTTTTATTATATACATACATATATACAGGGTATCCGACAATTAGTGTAAAATTTCTCGTAGGCAGATAGAAAAAGTAAACCTTAGTCGAAAAGTCCTAAATTATCTTTTTCTTTTACATATAATAAAAAAGTACTTAGTGAATAAATCAAGCTACTCAGCGCCGACCTTTAGCCGGACGCTCGCTTGTGAGCCGCGCGGAGAGATTACGCACACCAGGCGCGTGGTTGATTAATTACTAATTACTTTTTTATTATATGTAACAAAAAAAAATGGTTCTCGACTTTTTGGAACAAGGTTACTTCTTTTAACTGCCTACGAAAGATTTTATACTAATTGTTGGACACCCTATGTATTTATGTAACCAATACAAAAATACTGTTGTACATATATAACTACAAAAAATAAAGAAGATCATACAACATACCATCGATAGGCCGTCGTCTGAATATATGTTATTAATAATACAATTTATTATTGCTAATATGTTCACGTCTCTAGAAAACAAATAACAAAGTTTCATATGTAAAATTACTTATACATTATACAATATAACATGAGACAACACTGTTTGTCCCGAGAATAAAGGTATTATGAAAAATATGCAGATTATGTAAACTAGATAATCGTTTCACTGCATAAAAATGCTTATACATAGAAAATAATCTTTTTACCTTCCTATTCCAATTTCTAGTCCAAATAGTATAATTTCCAGCGCTGACATATTTTTTGAATGCATAGCAAAAATATTAAAAAGTAAAGTAACAGTAACACTTTTCTTTTCATGCACAATTTCTTTGTAAAAATCATCATTGTCTGCATTTAAACTACTTTCACGTATTTGTAAAGAATTATGATGAAGAAACGAGAGAAAGGCCAACCGATCCTTATACTGTTTAAAACAAGGTAAGAATTCGAAAAGCTGTTCTAGTTTTCCTTGTGTCTGGTATATCTTGACTATATCTTGCCACACAGCAGACGTTTCATAAGTGACAGTGTCTAACATTAGTTTTTGGCAATATATCCACTTCTGCCAACTTGGCAACAGTCTGCAAAAAAAAAAAAATATATTATCTCAGATAGTCAAATGTGAAAACTCAATATAAAGCAAATCATTGTTTAGATTAAGGTACTCGCTAATTGCTGTTGTGTTGTTTTTATTTAATGCAACAAAAATGTTTTGTTAATTTAGTATCAATATGATGAGTTTTATTGTCAACTAATTGTTGTAGACAATGTTTATGACAAGTGAGTGAGCAATATGTGAGCAATATGTAAGCAATGATTTTTATTTGTAAGTTGAAAAATAATATAAGTTTATTGTTGATGAGGTGATGGAAACTTGCTGTTATTATATTTTGAAGATTGTTGCTGACAAGAACGTACTGAAACCAAAATACACTCTTTTCTTACAGTGCTGAAACTTTATCCCTAAGAAAACATGTACAAAATTATGTGACAAAATTTTGAACTTAAATTGTAAGTTGCAATTATACAGATATATTTTAGGAAATAAATGTAAATCATTTATATCGTTTATAAAATATTTGTAAAAGTGTGCAAACTTATTTTGCAAATATTATTTCGGCAAAAGAATAACAATATGGCGAATCATCTTAGCAGTATATTTGCAAAATTAATTTCAAAAAGAAATTGTCCAGTAAGTGAGAAAAAGTTTCAGCTATGTGATGTTTAAAATATAGTAATACAATTGCATATGAAGAAATCAAGGTAATTCATGCATATACTTATGAAAAAGCATAACGGCTTTTTGCAAATTTTGACAAATATTAGTTACAAAATTTTATTTCGATAAAACTGTTACGTTATAGCAAATCATCTAAGTGTGATCCTGCAATCATTGCAGAATCGTCGTTATTCATGATTGTCGTTATTCATTTTTGTGCAATATTTTCACAATTTGTTTATGACGGATGAGCAATATTTGTGGCAAGTTACCACCAATTTGCACTCAGTTGGCTATCTAGGACTTTACTTAAATAAATATAACTCTTTTTAAAGTTTAATCCATTAGTGTTATTCCATAGATATAAGTCCAGTAGCACGATAAGATCTTTGTGACTTCAACGGACGTCAAGATGCTATTGGAAAAATAAAATAACGTACTTGTTTTGTGTAGGATGTTTAAAATGCCAGTTTAATATTCCATTAACATGTTCTTGGCACTTTAAACTACCAAGGATGCATGTCCATTTTAAAACTTCATGATAGAATTGATTATTGGCAATATTTTTCGAAGAATGTGTATATAATATGTCATCAAGAAACTTATTCAATATTTCCAGGAGTTTATTCTATAAAAGCAAAAGAAGTTATGTTGTAACACAGTGTTAGATACCTTGTGTTTTTAATATATAATTATTTAACAATATCTTTGTGTTACTTAGTGTTTCATATCTAAAATATTGTAGGTTCTACTAGTTTTGTGACATCTTAATACCCTTACAAAAAAGAACTACTGCCGGCTGTGTGATTATTACATGCGGCCGTGTGATTAATATGGCGGCTTTGTAATGATTGAGGCGAATATTATTGTATCTGTAATAACTTTTAGCAGCGAAATACAAGCGGACATTACTCGCTCTTTAGATATTATTGGAAAAACTACTGTGTGTAATAACGACTGAGTGTGCGGATCACAAGCAGATATTACTAGATATCGCTCATATATATATTATACAGTTAAAAATGGTATATTATGAGCGGAAAGACATCATTGTAAATAATCTAGCAACTTTTGAAACACTTTTTCTCTTTGGAAAATTTGTACAAAAATATTTTGTATTGAAAGAATGCAACAAAATATTTTTGCAAAACTGCTAATAATTATTAGCGTGTGATACGCATTATCTGCGTGTGATCCGCACACTCAGTGGTTATTACACACAGTAGTTTTTCTAATAATATCTAAAGAGCGAGTAATGTCCGCTTGTATTCCGCTGCNAAAAGTTATTACAGATACAATAATATTCGCCTCGATCATTACAGAGCCGTCATATTAATCACACGGCCGCATGTAATAATCACACAGCCGGCAGTAGTTCTTTTTCGTAAGGGTTGCTATTTTAGGCGATTTTTAGCGATTGTTTGGTACATGTATCAAAGTGTACCAAAGCATAGTTTCTATATATTCTAACTACACTTTGGTATATGTACCAAACTTTGGTACACTTTGGTATACCCTTACGGAAAAGAACTATTGCCGATTACATATAAATAAAGTAAGTAATATAAATATTACTGATAATCACACAAGAATATTATTAGGTATTACAGGAATCACTGAGAATATTACTGGCAATTACACAGAATGCCAGTAATTCTTTCGTACCACTGCCGAAATATATTACTGCCAGTAATTCTTTTTTGTAAGGGTATGTACCAAACGATCGCCAAAAATCGTCTTTTGCAACCACTGAAATATTTCAGAAGTTTTTTTGTAATTCTGCGCCTATATATTACTGCCGCAATATATTACTGCTTATATATTACTGGCAATAATATTTAGGCAGTAGTATATTGCGGCAGTGGTACGAAATAAATACAAGCATTCTGTGTAATTGCCAGTAATATTCTCAGTGATAACCTGTAATACTTCCTGTGATATCCAATAATATTTTCTGTGATATCCAATAATTTTTTCTGTAATACCTAATAATATTCTTGTGTAATTACCAGTAATATTTATATGTAATCGGCAATAGTTCTTTTTCGTAAAGGTATATAGCAATTTTTTTTATTCTGTTTTAAGTTACATGTATGTTCATAAAGGTTACAAAATTAGTTTTGTTTTATTGAATATTTTTTTTTTATTATACATGTATTGCTGATAGTTTTTATAAAATTTATTTTTTTAAACAAAAAATATCGAATATTTGATGTTGTAGATAGCACTAGTATACTATAGTCTTTATGATGCCAAAACAACAAATATTACACTATCGTAAACAATACATTTGTGCAACACAATATATCATCGATTTATTATGCGCAGTTCATTTATGAACAAAAAATAGATAGGCCACAAAAAAATTACATTGCGAAGAAAACTGTATTTAAATTTTTTAAAGGTGTAAAATTTTGCAAATCGTGTGTAGTTAGCAATTATATAGCACTTCTATAGAGTATCTTTTTAACTATAATAACGTGCTTTTTTATGACTGCGGATTTTTATGTTTGCAACATTTTATTTATGTTCTTATGTATATTTGTTATGTTGTCGGCTAAAGATACACAAGTGTGTACACTTGTTTTGTAGGATATGTGTATGTATATGTACATGTACAAAGGCTTCAGAGGAACCCTTTATCTTTGGAAATACATAGTTTTGACTAAATTTTAAGACACCATGTTTTTTGACAAAATTGTGTTTGAAGCTTCCTTTTCGAGTTATTAATAAAAATAGGTGACGTATCATAAGTCGGATACGAGAGGTAGGGATATTTTATAAATATATATTATAAATATTTTATAACATATGCGCAGAAGCGGCTCAACTCACCGTGAGTGACAGTAATTTATGTACTGCACGGATTATGTAATACAAATTACGAATGAAGAAGTAAACAACTGAGAGAAAAAGAGAGAAAAAGAAAGAGACAGAGAAAACTACAGAAACAGCGTGTAGCGATTAGTTGATCGCGTCAGGCAGCATACCCTGACAAGAAATTATTTACAAAATTATGTGGCAAAATCATGCACTAAAATTATAATTTGCAATTATACAGACATATTTTAGGAAATAGATGTTAAGACATTGATCTTTTCTGAAATATTTGTAGTTGTTTGCAAAATTACTTTCCAAATACTATTTTGGCAAAAGAATAACGATATGGCGAATTATTTTAGCAGTATATTTGCAAAATTAATTTCACAAAAAAATTGTCCAATAAGTGAGAAAAGAAATTCAGTTATGTGATGTTTCAAATATGTAGAAATATGATTGCATATAAAGAAATGCAAGAAATCGTCGTCACTCATAATGTTATATTTGTGCAATATTTTGACAAATGTGCCTATTAGGGTACGTAATTGCTCGCGTCTGAGGCTGAGTTGTGTCCTGCATACTTCTTGTATCCCACTCATGACAGGTCAACTATTTTTGTTAATAACTCAAAAAGTAAGCTTTAGATATACTTTTTTCAAATAACAAGGTGTCTTAGAATTTAGGTGTCAAGAATATGTATTTTTAAGAATAATGAAGTGATCTGAATCACTTTGTACATATGGGTATATAGTATATACAGAGTTAAAATTATTCTGATATTGAGGTGTTTTCTCGGGCTCCTTTGGATATGCCAATAATTATAATTGTGATAAGGGCTATTGGAATACAGAGTATTTGGCACTTGCCGTCTTACCACTCGTAGGTAGGTGACGGGAAGTCTGCGAAGCAGTTGTCGCTTACTCGCAGAAAAGATAAATAGTCAGTATCACTTTAAGATATGTATTTAACACTTATATATATATGTCATAAAATTTACTGTTAGTTCAATTCACTCAAATGTACAAATGCACTATAAGAGATTTATCATGTAGTGTAGTTTTGTCAATTTATTGCATATTTTGTCAGTATAAACTTAACCTTTCTTTAATTTTATATTCCTTAATAAAAACCATTTAGCCGCTTTTACTGAAACACTTTATATTAAGNACTGTTAAATCCTTCACTCTGTCAAGTTGTTTAGGTGATGTATCAGTACATTTTTAGTAATCATATTTTTNGATGAAANCAANGAAGAGGCAATCGTGGTNTCACAGTCAATCAAAGGCTGTTACGGCAGTAACAAGCAAAAAAAGGAAATATTTATTGCCATAACAGCCTTTGATTGACTGTGANACCACGATTGCCTCTTCNTTGNTTTCATCNAAAAATATGATTACTAAAAATGTACTGATACATCACCTAAACAACTTGACAGAGTGAAGGATTTAACAGTNCTTAATATAAAGTGTTTCAGTAAAAGCGGCTAAATGGTTTTTATTAAGGAATATAAAATTAAAGAAAGGTTAAGTTTATACTGACAAAATATGCAATAAATTGACAAAACTACACTACATGATAAATCTCTTATAGTGCATTTGCACATTTGAGTGAATTGAATTAACAGTAAATTTTATGACATATATATATAAGTGTTAAATACATATCTTAAAATGATAATGATTTTTTTCTTTTTTTACTATATATATATACATATATATATTCCAATTTAGTTTTTTAACTTTTTTTATTCTCTAGTTGACGATGAGCTTGCAATCATCTACTTTCGTAATGTACTAAATGTATTATTAGTTACCTTGATATTTCTTGAAAGAACACTTTCTGGGAACGGAACAATCTTCGACATGGTTTCAAGGGCAATAAGTACAGGATACCACGCTGTATAGGAATTGTTTACATGAAATATACTGCTTGCAAGTTCAAGATATATGTCCAAATCAATATTATCTGGAACAAAATTTTTGTTATACTCTGTATTTTGCAACAAAAAATAAAAAGCATCGTCGAGAAGTTGTGCTAAAGTGACGTCAGACAATTCTGCGATCTTAGACCCTCCGGTTTTAAGAAAAAGAGAAATGTCCTTCCAAGACTGACGATCATAGTTTACGCGATATCCTACGACAAAAAAAGTATTTAGAGAGTCAAAATTAGAAAAAGCGAGAAACAACCAGTATAATAGTAGCATTAACTGTGAGATAGTGAAAAGGTAGTGAAAAGATAGTGAAAAGATTTACTATGTACAAGGTATCCCAGAATTGGTTGACCATTTCTCGTAGACAGATAGAAGGACTAAAACTGAGTCAAAAAGTCCTTTACCATTTTGCTAGATTCGCAATAGTTACTGAGATCGTAATTACTAAATATCCGCGAATAAGCATCAGGCTACCTTATGGAAGTAAGACAGCCCAGTGCGCTTCGCGCGCTTACGATATTCGTAGCAACATATGTGAAGAGCTAATATTATAGCATATACTATGACATATACAATGTAATCGTGCGAAACGCGCCAGGCTGTCTTACGCGTGTACGACAGAAATGATACACCAATTCTGGAACACACTGTATATATACGCTGTATATATAGTATATATAATAAATAAAAAACTCATAATCACATTACCTAAGTGGTCCACGACAATGTTAATTTGATTTTCATGAAGTAGCGATAAAAACCATTTACTGTGTGGTTCTAGGATATGATAATGAGTGGCAAAAACTTGTGTGTTAATTAATTTTTTAAAGGTCATAGGTATCCACCAATTTTGTTTGCACAGCATTTTGACAGTGGAATTAACGTCAAAACAGTCTATAATTATTGGTGACAGTGTATTATCGTGTCGGAATACTTGTACCACAGGATAACCACTTTGTGCTGTCCATGAAGTTATCATATTTTTGATATCTGACGATTTTATGTATGAAACATTCTTATATAAAGAATACGTCTCAAAATTTCTATTCCATAACTTATCAAGAAGTGACAATTTGGTGTACGTGTTATTTGATGTCTTCTTCCTGATAACAAGTATAATATAATTATAATACAAAATATAGGAGTAATACTTGCTCTAAAGTTTAAAAAAAATATTTACTGTTGGTTTAAGGTATGATGGCTTTACTAATATATAATGTGAAAAACTAGTAATAAAAAATTGTCAAAATTGTTTGTAGTCCACTGATTTATATATACTCACGTGTTATAATATAAGTGTACGGCTTCTTGAAATAGAGAAGTATATAGGACATCTTGTTCAAAAACGGTATTCAGCATATATAAAGTACTGAATGCTACAACATAATTCATAACGTTGAAGTTTTGAAACTTTATTTAAAAAATAATTATAATAAATAATACGTTTACAAATTGAAGCTTATTTAACTCTAACACACATAAAAATTTAAATTTAATATTGTTATTTATATATATTTCATAACGTTAGGGTTTATGTTTTCCATCTGTTCGTATAATTCCCAGTAAACACAAAATAACAGTAAGATAATAATTGTTATAACTTCCTACTCAACAATGTAATTGTGATGTTACACGCTTTGTACGTAGCAGGTATATTGATGTGAGTAGAAAAGTTTTACCATTACTGTTATGTTACGTTACTTTGTGTTTCCTGGAATTACAGTAACACTTTAGTATTTCTTCTATTCTCTTTGACCTACATATTCGCACAATATCATCAAGCTTTCGATAAGAGTATTTTTCTTTGATTTGTACGACAAGTACAAATACAATTTCCGATGTTTATAAATTATTATTGTTTGTTTACATATAAAAGTACCAGAAATATTATATCACGTATAACATTTGTTAGTTTGTAAATTGTTAATCGTTTTGGATTGTATTATATTTCAAACTACATGAGATATAAAAGTACAAGCTCCCAATAAAAATAAGGCACAAAGTTTTAAGTACAATTAACAAGGTACTCTTTTGTAGTAACAATTATAAAATCTGTCGCAATAAAGCGACACATGTTTTAGACGGTGTAAAAAGGAAACTACGACCAAACTCCAAAAGTGTTCACTTACAATAAACATAGTAAAGATAATGAGTAGCTGAAAAGTTTTACAGTAATTTTAGGATATTTACATTAGTTTTAAAAGATATACAGTAAGATTTGATACTTTTAGGACTATCATTTTGTAAACGTTGAGTTAAAGAAATGAAAGTACTCAATAAATTTCTGGTTTTTTACCTTTTTCTCGCCACAGTTTAGTAAGAATTGAATTGCGTGATATGAGTGAATTTTCTCGAAATGGAGATTCTTTTGTAATTGCTTCTACGTAATCGAAAAATATTCGTCGTGTTTGGACCACAATCGACTTTAGTAAAGATGTATTGTAATACTATCAAGAAGACAAAGTAAGGTAAACTATAGTTTGATGATGAGCACATACTTAAGCATTTCAGATAGTATGTAAGTAATGTATTAGTTTAATAAATTTCCTGTGTTTTCACTTATATTTTTGATCAAGAATGTCACAGCAAGAGCTATATTAGTAAAGTGGTGATTTTTTTGATTAAAAAGTTAAATAAAAACACAGGAAATCTAGTAGCAAAGTGAGAAAGAAAGTATGTAAATTTTTCTCCACACATAAACATTATATATATGTTTTTATACTTTAATACTAATATGTCATACTGCGTATCATTTTAAAAAAACTAAAAGATGAATATAGTAATATTAATGTAAACGGTCCACATTATTTCTAAAAATAACACTGGTTTTTAATTATTCTATTTATGTAAAAATGTGTAAATAAATACTGCACAAGAATAATCTAACCTGATCGCTGATATAAACTCCGTATACTGTTGAAAATCCTTCAATAAACCAAAGATCAGACTGTCTAAACGGAACTACCCAATCACTAAACATTTCTTGTATCACAGTACGTGCTACTGAACATGTTGCTTTTCTTTCTTTTATAATGGAATCTACGTCTCTGTCGTATATAATGTTAACTTCACTAAAAATAAAAATAATTGTTACTGCCAGTACATTTTTCTCAGTGTGTACAGAGTTATAGTTTAGAAATTCGTTTTTGTATTGAGTTATGCATCTTACCTCAAGAAAACAAACCTAGGAATTACTATATTTTCGTAATGATTTACGGTTATTGGAAGTAGGAAGTAATGAACATATGATTGTGGTATGATATTGTACATGCTTCTGAGAAGTCGGATGATATCAAGCATAAGAGTTNGTGCATAGAATGTGCTATCTTTAGGGATGCTTTCAATAATAACGTTATCTTTTCTTAAAATAGTTGTCTTATATACATTTGGTATGACAATTAATGCAACCGAATGCGTGGATATTAAAGATGTGGTAGAAAATACTTTATAAAGCGTACTGTCAAACGTTTCAGGTATATTTATTAGAGCTGTATCTGTGTTCGTATGTTCAATTCGAATGGTAAATCTAGCCTTGGTAGCTGAATTTTCCCAATATGGAAATATCCATTCAGTAGGAATACGCGATAAAAACAGGAATCTAATAAAAACAAAATTAGAAATAATAATAACACAATAGTACGACAATAAAGCATTACGGGAGATAAATATATTACGTTATATAAAATAATAAGTTAAAAATATAATTAGTATTAAAAATATAATAATCAAGAGGCACGGTAGTGCCTCGCGCCAAGTTTCACGCGCAACGAAGTTGCGCTCGAACTGCGCGAGCACACCGTGCCTATTATTATTATTATTATTATAATCATATTTACAAAAACAAACAGAACAAATATAATAGTAGAAAAATACAATTCTATTTTTCAGTAAATCACAACGCTGTTTACAAAAAATATATAGTATTAGTAAATGTATTTAGTAAATGTTTTTATATTATATTAGTATATAAATTATAGAATAGATTTAGGAATTGTAGTAGATAGGATAAAACCTATAAATATCATATATAGTGAAACATTTTTTGTTGCAATAGTTAAAATTAAAAATATCTGTTGACTAATATTTTCATAATGTAGAAATAAATGGAGTTTAAATAATACATTGTATAATGTGTGCAGCATTATAAATATGTTAGCATGCAATAGCTCTTTATGCACTTACTTTGTTGAGTCACTTTGTTGCATGTATTTCAAACTCATTGCAATTTTTACTAAATTACAATTATATATCGAATTTATCACGTAGTGTCCTGATGTTATAATGTTTTCTTTTTTTAACAACAAGCCTCTAAAGCCTGTGTGTCTTTGTTTGGTGAGACTAATATCCACATTTGTGAATGGATTTGTGGTAGTATTTGACTGTAATATATTGACTTCCCACTGTGACATAGAGTTATAAAGCAATGCAGGTGCTACGTGCACTTTTTGTATGTTACAATAACGTCCGATTTGTAATCTTATGTATTGTTGTACGCATGACACGTGTAGTACAACAGTGGAATTGACAAATAGAGTAGTGTTTTGTAATTTTAANAAAATGGTATAATTTATCGGTTGTACACACTGCGATGTCTGAGACAAACTCTTATGAGTAGAAGAAGAAATTCCAATAACAGATATTGAGCATATTATTCCGAAGAATATAAGCATTTGCGTAATGCGTATCTACAAAATTATTTTGTTTAGTGAACGAAAAATACAGATACACAGTAAAACATAAGTATTACCCAAAATATTATAAAAAACGAACGTTTGCAATATCAAATCCACAAACAGCAATTACAGATGTGTGACCATTATGAGTATGTTTATCAGAAAAGATGTTATTTAGTTCTATCACGCAAACACATGACAACACGTATCACGGATGTGGTTTTACCAATCCGACATACGAAGAGACGAATANAATAGAAAACAAAGTACAGTGTTACTGTATACTACATGTGTTTGATACTATTTGAGATTATTGGAACAAAATTAAATTCAAGAAACTCGTTTAAGGTAGTTCTATCACGAGACAAAAGTTCTGACATAAATTCTAATTTTTTATAGAATATTGTCCGAACCAATCTTCATTTTTGTAAAACAAAAGAACAGTTATTTACCGACCAGTTTAATGAAACAATTTAAGTTGAACAAACATATAAAACATTGAGTATATATAGTATACGCAAATTCTTTGTGTTCGTATGTCTAACTTATAGACTTGAGATCTTTTCCAAAAACTACCAAATATATTTTCAATTTGTTTAAGAAGTAGACATTGAAGAAAATAACAACGTTACCGACCATTTTGATTTAATAAAATGATCTAAATTGATAAATGTCAAACTTGTAACCTGTACGTAGTATAGCCGTCATGTGTGGCAACGCCGCAATTATACTCGATGTGATGTAAAATATTTTTTACAAATAGTTTAATTTATTTCATCAATAATTATATTTTTAGTTATGCATAGTACGCGTTGGTTTCTTGTACATTTTAATTTAAAACTTCTTTTAGCACCCACGAAATCCTACGTAATAAAACTACCTTAATTAGTTTTGAGCGCGTTTTGCATTGCATAATAAACTTATATTGCATAATAAACTTATGGTCCAATACTGACTGTCAGATATTTGCATACGGTTAGAAACGTTTTATTTTGTAACAATTGTAAATTTTCAACAAATATAAGAATATATATATATATATACACAAGAATAAGAACTTACCATCTTCTATACAGTGATATTCAATGCATTAAGATATAAATATTGCAAGAAATAGTATTACGAACTTCTAGTACAACGAGATCAAACCCGTAACGTTTGCGCGATCTTACCTCTTCGAGATATTCTCGAGAACTAAGAAACGATCGTTTCAGTGGAACAATATGTACGTGCCAGAAAGTAAACATCTGTGTTTGGGAAAACGACCTTATTTTTGTTCTCTTTTATGTACGTGTATGATGATAGAAGTAATGGTTTCATATATGTCTGTTTCACGGTTAAATATAAGAATATAATTTCACATACAGACTGTTTTATTTTATAATTCGATAGTTTTCTTTGAAATCTACATTTGAAATAATGTTTTTCATTTACAAAACTTTGTATACAATATTGTAAATAAACAGATATTCCACTGATAGAAATGCATAGAATTTGTTTGTTGGATAAATATGCGGAATTCGGAACTGCATTCGAAATCGCTATAACCCAGATTTTATTCTTTCCGTTTTACGCAAAATGTCGCGGTGACTGGCTTGATATCACGTTTATTGCGAGCGTTGTATTTTTCGGTAGTCTTTCTTTGAAAAAGATGTTGTTCGACTTTGTCGTAGCCTGACAAAAGTAGAGACACGACATAATTATTTAATCAAGATGCAAGAAAAGTGTAGACAGCGAGAATTGTTAAAAAATTTTTATTAGTAAAATTTTTTTAGTAAAATTTGGTTAGTAAAACTTCCAAACTGATTGATGCAAGACAATTATTTGACATTTATTGTAACTGTAAATATACAATTCTAGTTTGTGCAACTTCGTTATTTTGATGAAAACTTTGAAATTACTTGTAATACATAGTCATACTTGTAACTCATACGACAATTGTCACGTTATCGTAGTACAGTTGAATATCTCTTACAGAAATTTATTACTTTTAATTATGAAACCAAAGTGAGTAATAAATTACTAGTCTATGATTTAATAATAATTTGGCAACTATTACTGACAAGGGGAGACTACGACATTGTACCAATTGCTTGGGACAAAATTTATAAGATTGATAGATGACTATGTGGAGTATTGTAGGGTAAAGTAAGAAGATGTACTACTCAAGCATTCGCGAAAAAATCGAAAACTTGAAAATTTTGAGTTATGCTATAACAATGTTAAATAGATTGTTTAATCGAAGATTGCGTAGCGTAGTGGTAGCGTACTTGAGTAGTAACGTCAACGCTGCTGGTTTGAATCTCGATATAATTTTTTTTCTCTTCAAAATTCTACAATATAATCTAAATGTAATTTGTTTATTATAAATGTAACGTTTTTTTTTATTTATTGCATGTTATAATAGTACATTTTTTTGCATAAAAACTCTGTGATTTAAAAAATTAAGTAAAAATAAATGGATTATTATAATACTAATTACTACTTGTGTTCATAAAAAGCGGATAAATAAGTAATATCAACTGTGTGGCGTTTATTTTTATAGACAAGTCAAAACTGTTAGAAAGTGTTTGCAGAATTGTTCAACTTTAATAGAACAAAACCGCGAAATAACATCTCGTGAAGATTGTATAAAAATTCATTCAATCATACATCATCAATTGTTCACCTCGAGTTTTTGAAATATGTTACAATATGCATGGTATCCCTTACGAAAAAGAACTACTGCCGATTACATGTAAATAAAGTCAATAATATAAATAGTCTTGACAATTACATAAGAATATTATTAGATATTACAGGAATCACTGAGAATATTACTTGCAATTACACAGAATGCCAGTAAGTTTTTTGTACCACTGTCGCAATATATTACTGCCAATATTTCCTTTTTGTAAAGGATGCTTCCAATTTAACAAATGAAAGAAAGATATTTATAAATGTCAACAAAGTATGTTTTTGTAGAGATATTTTAAAGAAAAAACCATGTGAATGTAAAACTGCAGCGTTCATACGATGTGTATACTGTCGTGAAAATTATTGTTCACTTCACTTGTTTTTATGACAAATATCATCCTGCATTATGTATTGTCCCATCTAGTTCCAATAAATAAAACATGTTGCATATATTTTTACATGTTGCATACAATTAATTATCCGCTTTTTATGAACACAAGTAGTAATTAGTACTAATCTATTTATTTTTACCGTATTTTATAAGTCACAGAATTTTTATGCTAAAAATGCACTATTATAACATGCAATAAATGAAAAAAACGTTACGTTTAGAATAAACAAAATACTTACATTTAAATTATATTGTAGAATTTTGAAGAGAAAAAACAGTATATCAAGATTCAAACCAGCAGCGTCGACATTACTAACCAAGTACGCTACCGCTACGTTACGCGATCTTCTATTAAGCGATCTATTTAATATCTTTATAAGGTAACACGAAATTTATAAATTCAATTTTCTCGCGAATGCTTGAGTAGTGCATATTATTACTTTACTCTGCAATATTCCACAAAGTCATCTATCAATCCTATAAATTTCGTCCAAATCGATTGGTACAACGTCGAAGTTTTTCGTGGTGAGAATTATTAGATACTTACTGAAGACTTATTTCTGATAGTAAATTACTGAATAAATTACTGTGAGTGTTTGCATAAAAATTTGTTTGAAATTTATTCGGAAATCAGGTAGATTTTTCCAAAATATATTGGATTTTCTTTGAAAACTTTTTATCGATTTTAGTTGGTAATGTAACGCTTTGCGATTAAAAATCAAAAAATAGATTCTATCTAGAATCTAAGGCAAAAGTTTTACTAAAGAAAACAAATATCACTGGCACATCGGTTTTTGGAAGAGAAATTGATTCGAGATTTCACTCAAATTAATTTTTGGAGGCGATTTATCTCGCCGAACGACCGATGACCTCCATGGAAAAGAACCAGACCTAAACAAATCTTAAAGATGATTTCAACTCGACATCTCTATATTTGCAGCTTCTTTACTCAGTCCGCGAGACCACTTGTTCTTTAATAAATCGTAATTATATTTAGTTACTTATTCTCAAGTTATCTCCCAAGCAACCAGCTGACGTTGTAATGACGTAAATATACGTGATTTTTGTCAATCACTTTTTTGTCAATATCACTAATTGGTGATTATGACCTAAATCTGACGTTATTTTGAACGTCATAACAATGACGTCAGTATATACGTCACACATATACGTCATATATGATGTAACTATTGGTCTTTGGAGTAACGTCAGTTGAAATAAGTGAGTAAGACGTCATAATGACTTTATTTAAATAACACGGTAGTTAAAAATTTGTTTTTGAGTATATATTTATGTATTATATGTAAGATCCCACATAACACGTAATATTACGAAAATATCACAGTAACATTGCAATATACTAGTAATATTAGATATTATAATACAATATTACAATAATATTATCAATATATTACATTTATATATAATATTGAAATAGTACGGTAAGATTGTATTGTATCTTAAGTAGCTAGCTTATGAACGTTATAGAGATGTCATTTAATGTTATTTACTATTTAGCACGTTGCATACACATCGCATTATATCTTATATATAATATCATACATATATTTTGCTACGTTGTGGTAAAAACCTAACAACTTTTGTTTTAAACATAAACGCTTTGTTTTCAAAATATAGTATATCAACAAAGAACACTTTGTTTGTGTATAACATTTTTACTATATAATAATTATTATATAATAAAGTTGATACAAATAAATGGGTATATATTTTTATGTGTACATATTTTTCTATATTATTTGATATATATTAAAAATTGACTTTAATAAT